GGAAATGAACAAAAAGCTGGCTGAACCCTAAAATTAGCAGGATGGTAGCTAAAAGTTGTGTATGTGAAAAAACAAGGTTAGTCAAAAGCTAAAAAAATCAAACAACTAGCTAAAAATATCAAAGAGAAATGGAAATGAACAAAAAGCTGGCTGAACCCTAAAATTAGCAGGATGGTAGCTAAAAATTATAAATATAAAAACATTAGGCTAAGTAAAATCTAAAAACAGCAAAAAGCTAGTTGAAAGCTAAAAGCAACAAAAGGCTAGCTGAAAGCTAAAATTATCAGGATGATAGTTAAAATATACAAATGAGAAAAGGCTAAATGCTAAAAGGCAAACACATGGTCATGACTGTTGTTTTTACAGATATGAAGGTAAAGTCTGGTGTGGTAGTAGCTGACAGTCTTCCTCAGCAGATGCTCTGAGCTAACAGAGCTAACAGCGCTAACAGAGCTAACAGAAGGAGGAGAGTGACAGTCACATATCAGCGTTTTCATCCAGAGGCTAAAAATAAACGTGTTGTTTGTGATGTAGCGGCTGAACTCACTGTGAGGGAAAACAAAGAGGCCCAGAACCAACAGAACTGGGCATCAAACAGAACCACAGCTGCACCACGCACACGCCTGAAGCTGCGCGTGTGTTTGTGTTGGCCTGGAGAAGTGTAAACGCAGGAAGAAGAGCCTGAAGTGGTGCAGCGTGGTCCTCCCGAGGAAACAGAAACAACCAGGTTCTGCTGCAGGAACCGGGCTCAGAACCACAGATATACTGAACCAACCAGGTCCTGTTTGCAGGAACAACATCCTCTCTCAGTCCCAGCCCAGTATTGTTCGGTTCTGGTACCATAACAGGTTTTGGAGACCTGCTGCCATGATTCCCCACTGAACTGCAGCTGCTTCATGGCCTCTGCTCACCTCCAAACATCCTCCATCCCATAACTCAGCTGACAGGTCTCATAAATCCCTGAGCCTCGGCCTTCATCTGTGTGAGGAGATGGAGGGAGGGGGCGGGGCTTGTTTCAGGGGATTATGTCAGATCCTTCCACCTGGAGCTCATTTATAAACACGTCAAGTAAAAAGGAGGAACCAAATATTCTGAGGGGAGACAAATGAAAACATGCAGAAGTGGATTTAATCTCAGAGAAAATGGAGCCAGAATAAATAAAACGATTCGAGATCCCGTCATTCAGAGGCTGAGGTTTCCCAGACTTCACCTGTTCCAGGTGCTTCTTCGTTACAAAAGAAAATATAATTTAAGAACTGCTCTGAGCTGTGACGAAAGAACAGAAGACTCAAACTGACAGGACCGACAGGTGAGGAGACATTTTTAGATTTTCCTAAGAAGCAGACAGAAAAAAAAAGCTTTGGTGCTGAGTCCGACAGAACCGACACCTCTGGTGCTTCGGCTGCTTTTTCTCTGCTGTTTCTGTTGCTCCTGAGTTGTTCTGTCTAAAAATAAATTACATTTTTTTATGTTCTAGGAGTTGAGACACTTTACCAAAAACTAAACCTAATTCTAACGAGCAACATGCTAACTGCAAACAGCTAACAGGTGCTAAAACTAGCAAAACAGGAGCTAAATTGGTAAAACAGTGGCTAAATATAGCAGATGCAAAGGCTAAAGCGAGCTAAACTGGAGCAAAAGCAATAATAGCTGCTAAAAAGGTAAAATGGGAGCTAAAAGTAGCTAAAAAATAGCTAAGACTAGCAGACAGGTCAGCTAAAAGCTAAATTAGTAAAACAGATATAAAACTAGAATCAGAAAAGCAGTAATTAAAGAGATGCTAAAATAAAATAAGCAAACCTGTAGAAAGAAACTAGGGAAATAAGTGAAATAGTAGCTAAAACAAGCCGAATAGTCAGAATTTATGACAGATCCAGAAAAAAAGCAACAAAAACTAAAGAAAAACTGAAGCTAAATTACTGAACAAGCTAAAACTGATTGGTAGGAGAACACCAACTACAAGTTAAACGCAGTAAGACTTAAGCTAAAATGAGCATAACAGTAGCTAAAGAGATGCTAAAATAAAACAAGAAAAAGAAGTAAAACGGTAGCTAAAAGTAGCTAAACGTAGCAGGATGGTAACAGTTTGCTTCTAATCTTGTGCTCAGGAAAGAATTTTCCTTCTTTTGATGTGTTTTTGCTAAATGAGGAAGAACTTCAACGTTTAAAGAACTCTGGAAAAAGAAACCACACGGATGTTTCTGATGGAGTCCGATGTTTCCAGCCTGATAACCAGGAAGCAGAACCGTCTGGCTGTTATCTCCGCAGCTCCAGAGGACTCAGCTGCACGCAGAAAGTAAACAGTCCAGAACTAATTGTTACCACGTCTCTGTCAGCGGGATGCACGCCGCTGTTCCAGGAAGAAGACGGAGCCCGCCGTGATTTAATGAGCGCACGAGCTGTGAACGTGAGAGGCCGGTGGGCTCCGGAGTTAACGGGAAACGAGCTGAAAGAGGAGGACAGGGCAGCGAGGTGAAAATTAATCTTTTAGCTTTTTAAATATCTGGAAACTTCAATGGTTGTGACTTATTTCACATAAAGGAAAAGTCGTTTTTAGTGGTTTATTGCGCACAGTTTCCACTGAAAACTACATTTCCTGTGAAATAAAACTGAATCTTTTGTCCACGTGGTTTTCGTCTCGTCACACATGAAGGAGGCGAGGACGGCTCTCCTGAGGACGATCCACAGCTGGGAGCTCTTCGGCGCTCTGATTTAAGACTCTTCATCGCTCGGCTGATGCGAGCGCTGCGACCCCAGAGGTCAGACGTCCCCACAGACTCAGAACGACTGGTCCAGTTCCACCTGGACTGGACGATAGAACCAGACCAGCAGATGAAGGCCTCCGTTTGTCCCGGAGCTTCCCGCGCTTTGTCTTCCAGTGAAAAGAGATCTGAGCGTCTTCGTCCCGCAGGAACCGAAAAGCCAACATCAGAGGGGCGCAGTCCTCCGGCCAAACCAGTAAATCCACTTTAATCTTCACAGCTAAAAGGGGGGAAAATGTTTTTTTGGGGGGTTTTCTGGCAAACGGATCAGACACTAAACCATTTCAAAGCTGCCTCACCAAACATTGGGTGTTAGGTTGGTCTGAGGTTTGTCTCTGGAGGACAGGACGCTACAACTTCTGCTCTGTACCAACTTATAAACTTGAAGAAACAACCTGCAGACAAATTCAAAGAAACGGTCCAAATTATTGTAGAAGAGGAGTAAAAACTAAGAGTTTGAAACATTTTGAAGTCTGTTGTTGGTGTGAAAATGTCTCTGGAGCTGCATTAAATGTATTTTAAAGCTGCAGGTCAGAAATCAAACAGAAGAACACGGACAAAACAGAATTTAGAAAGAAGTGAAACCGTTTTGTTGTTTATCGATGTCTTTATTTAGGAAAATGTTGCGTAACCAGAGATAAAGGAACTAAAAGGATAATATTATTTAACATTGCTGCTGCCCTTGGGTCAAAATGACCAGGAGGATTAATGGCAGCAGCAAAAACCTGATTAAAGAACTGTTTTGACTCAACAGTTCTCAGCCTCCTCTCATCAGTATTTACAGCTACCAGTTTCAGTTTCTATCCTCCCCAAATCCTCATCTGCTYCCTGTAAACCTCCCCTCCCCCACCGCTGCCTCCGCCTGCAGCTCCTGCCTCCTTTTTCCTCCTCTTTTCATTTATTCATGCATCCAGGAGCTGCTGAGTCCACAGACGGGCMGAGAGAATCAATGCAGGTCTAAAACCAGCTAAAGCTCGTCTGAAAACAGCCGATTGGTTTCTTTTTATTCTTTACACGACGAAACGTCGTTAAACTTAATGTCCGCCGGCRTCTGAATGCAGCGCGACTGTTTATCAAGGGTTTATCAGCTGAACAGAGCCGAACAAATCCAGCAGGTTTGTTTGAAAGAAGCCGAGGCTCCGTTTGCTCGTCTTCATCACCAACAGAAGCTCCAGCGACACAAAACCTGCAGATTTATCTTTAACGTTCAGCTTCCATACAGAAAACCAACAGAACAAAACTAAACTGACTGAAATAGCAGCTAAAATATAAAAAAAGGCAAAAGGCTAGCAAAAATCCAAGAARTAAAACAATAGCTGGAAGTAGCAAAATGCTAACTATTAACTACAAGAACAACACTCACTAAAACTAAAAAAATACTAACTAAAATGTTAATAAAACAACAGCTAAAAGTAGCAAAATGCTAGGTAAAGATTAAAACTAGCAAAATACTAACAAAAAGCTGCCAAGAAGTAAAACAATAGCTAGAAGTAGCTAAATGCTAGCTATTAGCTACAAGAAATGCAAAACAATAAACTAGAAAAAGGCTAACTTAAATGTTAATAAAACAGCAGCTAAAAGCAGCAAAATGCTAGAATAAAGTAGCAAAATGTTAGCYGAAAGTAAAACAAGAGCAAAATRYTAGCTAAAAGAAGCAAACCTTAGTAAATCTCCAGGTACAAGTGTTAAAAAGCTAAAAGTTAACAGTAGTAAAAGGCTAGCTAAAAGTTAAAATTTGTGTAAAACTGAAATRTTTAAGTAGTGAAAAGATAGCTCTAAGCTAAACGCTAAATTGTAGCAAAACACTACCTATGAGCTACAAGTAGCAGAATGGTAGCTAAAAGCTAATGGAAGCTTTAAAAAAAGAAAAAGTAAAAATGCTGATCTCAAAATATTTCCACGGTGAAAAACATTTGTAAATAAAGTTAAATATTTTTTAAAGTATAAAGGAACAAAATGAAGGAGCTGAATGTTTGGATACAGCATAAACAGCTAAAACGATTCGTTGTGGTTCAAAAAACTGACTCAGYATTTATGACTCGTCGTGCCTTTAGCTGCTGGTTGGATGCAAACAAAAATAATTGAGTTGTGACCTTCAAACTTCAGCTGATCTGCAGCTCCAGCAGCAACCATCGTCTCTAATGAGAGGAACCTGGTTCCTTCAGCAGAGGTCAAAGGTCAAACTGAACAGTTTCAGGTTCATGAAGAACAACACTCARAGGAGAAACATCAAAAATAAAAGGTTCTGTTTAACGTAAAGCTAAAAAAATGACTGGATTAAATGTTTTAACCAGTAAAAACCATCAGCTGCTGACGATTTAAAGTAAATCAGAGTTTATTCAAATAAAAACCTGTAAAAGATCAACTATTAAAACAAACTGTTCTGTCACTGATTCACAGATTTKACCTTTGCCTCAAGGTCCATTTTCACCCAGCCGAAGCTCTGATCACAGCTTTATTTCAAAATCAGCCTGAAACCAACAGCTGAACATGCTGTCTGTTAGCAAAATATCTACTTAATGAAGCTGYCTGTAACTCATGAACCTTTGCTGCCACAGCTGAACAGAAAATGTACTTCAGCTGTTTGAAAACCTTAAGTGTTGAAAGATTTAAGTGTAAAAAGTGTTTCAGTTCTTTGACTCGGCTCTGTAGTTAAATGTGTGAAAGCTAAAAATAAAAGCTTCCTCACATCTTTTTTTTCTTCCTGGTTAATTTATTCTCATCTTTTTCTCTCGTCTTTAATCCGAGCTGCAGGAGTGATGAAGAGCAAAGCTCCTGAAGAGCCGACGCCTCCTTGTTGAACTCGGACTGCAGCGGACCGGGCTCGGGGCAGCCGGTTCTACAGAACCAGGGTCACAGGTTCAACAAGCTGCTGAGATYTTGGAGTTCCACAGAAAAACTCTGTTTTATTATATTCTGCTTTGAAATCACCTCAGGTTCTTAATAAAATCTGCTTCAGCTACTGGATCTGCTTTTGTCTCCTTGTCTTACTTTTAGGTTTTAACTAGCCTTTCGCTACTATTAGCTTTTAGCCTTTAGTTTCTTTAGTCTGTCCTGCTGTTAAATGAGCTCCTCAGACACTTTGTGACGTCACACATCTGATTTATATTTCATCTGGTTCCAGAGCAGCGGTACCACACAGCACCAGGTCCGTTTCTAAATATAAACATGGACTCCCAGAGGAGGAAGAGGAGGAGGAGGAAGAAGAGGGGGAGGAGGAGAATGCTCAACTGTCAGACATGATGTGGTTCAGAAACAGATGTTGGCTGAAGCTAAAAGAAGCAAAAACTAGCAATTGGTTAGCTAAAGCTAAATATAGCAAAATGCTGGCTGAAGGGCTCGACACACGGGCAGCGACAAACTACAGCGATATCGCAGCCAGGGTGAAACCCGACACACGGGACGCGATAGTGATCGCAGCGTTGCGAATCGCGCTCTCRGGTCGCTTGTCTTCACAAAATTTGATTGGTTCTTGACTCTGAAGGCAGATGTGCATTACAGACGTGTAAACTAAACAAATCTTGCGATGCTAATGATATTGAAAAACAAACACACATCAAGATACAGTTTHATGAGGAAAAACTTACCATAAACTTCACCCTGGTGCCAATAAATTCCCACAAAGCTTTTTTAGTATCACTTGGTGAAAGTGTTAGCTAACTGCAGTGTGTAGCATACTCTCCTCTCATTGGTCAGTCAGTGAAACCCTCGCTGATTGGTTGTACGCTAAGCGACAGCGACAAAAGTTGAACATTTTTCAATATGTCGCGTCGCAAGCTCGTGTGTGCACGTCTACGTGTACGTGTGCGAAATTTCACATGCACTMTTTTCGCCGGTCGCTTAGCTGGAGGAGGGCAAGTGATTGTTGCCTCACCGCACAGGCTCCACAGGAAATGAATGGAGAGAGAGCGACGTCGCCTTCCGTGTGTCGAGCCCTTAAGGCTAAAAGTAGCAAAAAGTTAGCTAAAGCTAAATATAGCAAAATTCTGGCTAAAGCTAAAAGTAGCAAAAGGTTAGCTAAAGCTAAATTTAGCAAAAATGCTGGTTAAAACTAAAAATTGAAAAACGTCCTCTAAAAGCCAAAAACACCTGAATCAGTTCTCAGAGCTCCATATCTTTCCAAGAGGAAAATATTAGTAAATTAATTTAAAAAATAAGTTTAAAAGCTCTAAATTCACAACACTCGTCTAAATGAGCTGAAGGTTCTGATATAAAAACAGCTAAAACATCACAAACTTTGCAGAAATAGTTTGTAAAAAAACATACATAAATTAAAAAGCAGGAGATTAAAGAGCAAAGGTTTGTAAGACCAGTTAAGATCAGTCTGAAACATAAATAAAAACAAACTTTTTGTATCTTAAAACGCAACTCGAGCCTCATTAGTGGGTGTTTATAAGATTCTCCTATTTTAAAATAAAAATGAATAAAATGTTTGAGAACTAAACCCAGACCTCCCTGAGAGTCAAATAAACATTCAAATGTGAGTTTAGGACCGACAGGTCCTGCTCCTGAGAGCTCAGACACCATTCTCTCCTTGGCTCGACAGGTAATGGCTTCCTCTGGCAGATGGAGGGGTCAAAGGTCGTACGAGCACAGAGGACGCCGCATTCCTGAGCGTCTGCATCTGATATCAGATAACCTGGAGTCTCTCTCTGAGAGGGTTTCATAAAGCCATTGTTCCTGCTGCTAACAGCTATTCTGAAGGCTGTGGCTGCTGCAGACGTCACCCTGCAGGGTTTTCAGGGCAACAGGGGGGAGGTTATGAACAGATAGTGTCTTACCTGTTGTAGATAACTGTTTAAACCACCTCAGTTTGAAGAGAGAGTTGAATTCTGACCAGACTATCT